CCAATAACTTTGTGTTGTCAGAAAACTACGCGGCAACAAGTTTAATCAACTGACTAGACATGGAGCATACGGACAAGAGTGCTGAAATGTCTTCAATTTTACACAAGCTTATATTTACACACACATACAGTTTACGACGTCTGCAAACAGATTTCATATAGAAAAAGAGCTTATAGCATGTTTTTTTGTGTATGCTTATGGGATACTTGAAATAGACTACATGATATATATATCTTAAATCAAAATATATTGTTACTATTAAAATATGTATAGAGTGAGAGCATTATAGGTCAAACAAAACGTTTCCATTTACTTCACTATATTGATGTTGAAATCGTCTAATATTAAGAAAATCATTAACTGGTCAATAGAAGTTCACCTAACTAGCAAGATATTCCTACACATCAAAACACAAAAAACTCTATTTACATACTTCAGACTAAAAAAAACCAATGTTAGCTCTCTACTAATTTCAAATACTAATTCATAGCATTTCAAAGAAAATCAGTTTCCTCCATCTACTTGGAAACATTTTATTTAGGGGAGGATGAATTGTTGCATGCATTCTTTCAACCTTATGCCTTAAAAAAACAACTTACGAATACCAAGTATGTGAACGCATGGTGGTGCTAGGAATGCCATGAGATCAAACAGGTACTAAGGAAGTAAAGTACAGACTGTACAGTTGGAATTGGAAACTTTTAAGTTAAGACATTATACCTTTCAATTCAAATAGCAATGCAAATCTGTAGAGGTTCAGTGCTGCCAGAACCTGCACAAACATCACAAAAGAATTTTTTCGTTACACAAAAGGTGGTTAACTATTAGATCTCGATACAGATTCAGAAAAGCAAAAGAACAATGTTCTTTCGATCTGACTCTCTTATTCTCATAAATGGTGAAAAATCTGGGGTCTTGTCTGTCACAGTTTTCCCTTACGTTAAAGTAGAAAGCAATGGGACAACATAAACTCCTTATTTAAAGAGAAAAGTAAGCAACTCATTTGAACAGAACGGGGGAATTTCCTCTGTTTCCCTATATGTATGTTCCTCTATATGCATGTCCCTTTAAGCAGTTACCTTAACCCATGTTATTACATTGACTATAGGGCTTATATGATGCATACAAGAGAGAACCAGTAATTAAAAAGACAACTGATAAAGCTACTTTTGCTCATGTTGTCTTTAACTAGAGCCAGAAGTATCGCTGTCTGGTTAATTTAGCAAAACAATATTAGTTGGAATAATATGCCTCTTCATTAGATAACAGCAGCTATGACAGCCAAATAATATGGAGCACCGTGCAGCATCGAGTGCCTGGTCATTCGGATTCATAAGGCGATCAAATCAACAAAATACTCAACCATTACAACAACTAGTTATCTTAAAAGGCCAAAAACCAAGTACGAAAAGACAACTTAAGACTAGTATATCTATTGCCTTAACTAGGCTGATCAGAATCCAATTCCACATGTTATACCTCACAAAGAATTGAAAGGATTGCATGCTCCCACAAATCTATCAATGATTTCGTCCACTAACTGTGAACATCTGCTTGATAGTCAATGTAAACTTGGGAATTACTTTCGGCAACTCAAATGACAGTGCATCTATAACAGCCTGTAACACAACGAATATCCATGAGCAAAAATCGAAAACCTTTAAATAATGTTTTCCGCTGTCAAAAGCGATTAAGGAACCGAAAAGCACCTGATCCATTTGAGGAGATGATACAAATTTCAAAATTTCAGCCAGAGCTTCATTGCTGGAATTCAAAGCTAAGTTCTCCTCTTCGGACAAAGAATTCAGACAGTTGACAAGTTCTTTCACCAAACTCTCCAAGTCTTGAAATATTCCACCTTCAACTGACTGAAAACACAAGGCTAAAAGTTCTCCTACACGATGTGAAAGAGAAGAAGCAGTAGCATCGGAATCTCCAAGATCCCTTACTTCTTCCCACCTCAACTTATGCAATGAATTTACTAGTACTCATGGACTTTTGTGCGTCTTTTTCTCTGATATACAACCACTTGTATAAGAGATATGGTTTTGTCTTAAGGAGTCCAAAGATAATCTCCATGCTCATAAAATCAGACAAATTCTCAGGTACCAAAGATAATCTCCATGCTCATAAAAGAGCAAGTCCACAAAAGGAGTAGAAATAACTGGATGATGAATGAGAGATTTTATATATGAGTTTAGTTTTGACGTCCCTGCAAAACCATTTCATACAAGATTTTCTGCTAACATGGTTTATATCTTTCAATCCATTAGACATCTACTGATGATTGAAATTGGGTTGCAAATATTCCCAAAGACTCGACTCATGAATGTGACTTAGCTAGTCAGGAACATGAAACTTTTGTTTTATATAAAAAAGGTCAAATGTAACTACGGAATGGAAGGAGATCCATTTGTCTTACTTAATCAATCATAACTCAATTTGTTTAATCACCAAAGGAACTTGAATCAATGAGATTATAGGAATAGACTTATTATGTGTAATTTCGATATTTATAATACATGTTTAACAACTTTAAAAACTTCTTAGTTCAAATTTCTACCAAAAAAAAAAAGCTTCTTAGTTCAAATAGACTATAGGTTATATAGATTATAATATTTTGTATTTATATAATATAAACGTTTGTTTCAGTTTTGTTTTTCGCAGACAATAAAATATTTATAAAACTAAAAAAATTCAAAAAGGAAAATGAGTACTTTATTCAAATTTTTATAAAAAAAGAGAGTAGTGAAGTAATAAAAACTAAAATTACTTCATACATGCTCATACATGAATAGATAAAAATTAATTACATGATAAAATTTAAGAATTACTTGGAAATCAAATAAGAAAAACAACCAAATTAAAAAAGTAACTCTTAAA